TGCTCTCTCCCCGCACATTGTGATAGCTGGGAGCCTAAGTATCAGCCGAGTGGCTGGGTCATGGCGAATCTAGGTCAGGAGCTGCTCGGGAAAACATGAGCCTCGTAAAAAAAAAAAAAAAAAAAAAAAAAAGTGCTTAAACCAGCGCGTCCTAACAGAAAGAATAAAAAGCAGGACCTCATGCTGATGGCTTCCATACAAAGAAGAGAATTTAGGTCACATAGCTCCACATTGTTGGGGTGGGGGGTGTTTATTCTCCCTCTTCTTCAGTAGGTGAGCTGAATTATAATTTCATCACCAGCTGGAAGTGGTGAATGAGGCTATGGGGACATTAGGTGTTTGGAATTAAACCAGCACCTGTTTAGGTAGTATCACTATCATCTGTCTTCTCACACCGTGTCATAAATAAACAATTTTTACTGTCTACCCAGTAAACATTCTTATCCTATCATTTTTCAGTCTTTGAATATGTGTTTTGCAGACCTCAGCAAGGACTCAACAAATTATCCCTTTGCAGTTCTGTGTCAAATTTCTATTCTAATGTTCTCATCAGGGGTAATTTATTTATCACCTGACTATTTTCATATCTGTGTGACCACTTGGAAGAGCTGCATTTCACTGTAGTTAAAGCTGCAAGCCCCTTTTGGAGCGTGTTGTCCTAGTGTTTAGTAGTGAGAAGGTTGAAAGTATCCAGTTCAATCCCCACAGCCTTCACTCTGGGTTCCTGAGAATGACCCTTAACTCTACACTGCTTCATAGGGACCACTGCTCCCCAAGGTTCAATGCAGAGGCATGTTTCTCCAGTGTGAGATCAATAAAGTTCAATTGTTATTTGTCTCCACCAGCTTTCCAAGTCTGAAGACTTTTTGTCTGTGTTTGTAAAGAAAATGCCAGATGTTTGTATGAACTTTAACTGGGCCATTTTTAAAGCATGATGCTTTGATCTAAACGGTTCTATATATGTTTAGTGGGGACGTCAGAATCCAGTCCTCAGGGGCCGCTGTCCTGCACACCTTTAGATGTGTCTCTCCTTTGACACACTTAATCTGATATTTAAGTCCCTCATAGGACTCTGGAGAACCTGACTTCAAGGAAGTGATTAAGCCATTTGATGAAGATGTGTTGGACCATGGAGATATCTAAAAGTTATGACTTGCAGTCCTAAATGTAAAAGTGCAGAAAGCCTGAGTTCCTTTAAATCAAGATTAAAAACACATTTGTTTAGGATTGCCTTCGACTGTTCTAGTTAAACAGTTCAACTGAAACATCATTAGTTAATCTTTTTTTATTTTCTTCTAATCTGTTTTTAATTTTTTTTTGTTTCTGCATTTTTTATTTTATTTTATTTATTTTTACTACTTGCTTTGATTCTGTTTTATTTTCCTATATTTTAATCATGTAAAGCACTTTGCATTGTCTTTGTATTGAATTGTGCTATACAAATAAATGTGCCTTGCCTAAATGCTAAAAGGTGGACCTTTGTGCTAGTCCAAACCTTTTGGCAAACTTTACCCAGAGTACTTTCAGAATGAGCTCTAACCATCTTTCATCAATTCTGACCATCTTCTCTGCCCTCACTGATTAAAACATGATCATACCACCACCATGTATTATAGAAAATATAAGGTGTTTATGCTTATGTAAGTTGTTGGATTTCTGTACATATTGTTTGGCATGTCTTCAGTTCTGGTCTCTTTTAAACTTTTCATGTCTTTTTTTTTCTTTGCCTCTCTTTGATAAAGGTCGGATTCATGGAGTGTACAAGTGGTAAATGTCATGTCCAGATATTCTTCTACCTGCATCATCGATCTCTACAGCTCCACCAGAGTTATAATGAGCCTCATGGCTGCCTCTTTGATTAATACTCCCTGATGTCGTTTCATTGGACAAGACCCTTCACCTGCCTTTACTGCTTGTGGTAGTCAGAGGAATCGGCCAATCGTACGACAGTCTTGCTTCTGTCAGACTGCTCCTGTTTTATTAAAAGGTTCTAAGTTTTTCTGACAGTTTCATCTCATCAATACCAAAATATATATAAATACATTAAAGCTGCACTCAGATAAAAATGATTGTTTCAATAATTCAGGAAAACAAAGATGGTTGAAAGATCTTGAGAAAAAAACAACAATACAGAGAAAAGTACATTGCAGTAACAGAGGAGAGGAAAGGCAAAACAGCTGAGGTGTTTTCTTAGAATTACTGTTTTAGGACATGCGATATTTCTGCTTAGCTAAAGATATTCTGATTTATTTACCTCTCCAAAAATGGATAAATAAGAATAATTACCGTAATAACGTATATTGTGACGATATCAAACAGTTGTTGACTGCAAATTTACTTCATCATACCGAAAACTGTTTGCAAGATCATAAGTTATTCTAGGGTTAAGGCTTCTTATAATTGTTACTTATAAAAAAAAAAATAAAAAAAAAGGGAAAAACAAAACAACAACAAACAAAAAAAAATTTTTAAGCCATTTTTAGTAATATCTTTCAGCTAAATTAGAGTGAGGTTTCTTTCTGGAAAATCTTCAAAAAATACTTTAAAGCCTGTATCATAACTTGTTTGAATTGTTGTAATTCTTTGAATGTGTGCCTATGCCTTACTAACATGGAGTCAAATTTTAACATTCTCGTAAGGTCACAGGTATGGACTGACATCACAGTTTATCTACCCTTATTTTTTTTACCCTTATTTTTTTTTCCCCAACAATTTTTTTCAATATTATGTGAAATAACTTTTCTTCAATATTAGCTCAATTGTATGATTATTTCTTTTCGATTTTTATTGTGTTTTTACTCTTTTATGATGCATTGTTTTGCTGCACTTAACCAACACTCTGCAGCACTTCAGAGCAATATTAAATTACATACTTATATATAAATATATATATATATATATATGTGTGTGTGTGTTGGTCATTGGTATCAAAAATAAAAAATATAGTACAGCACAAGAGATAAAGT